TTTTATTAATTTTGTTAATTTGTTCTTATTAATTTTTTTTAATTTAATTTTATTAATTTTTTTATTTTTTTGGCGCACAATTTTTAAAGCTTCATTAGTAGCTTGTTTACATTAAAATGTGTTTCATTAAAAATATTTCTGTCACACATGGCAGAGCCGGTTCCAGAGAGCCTGATACAAATATTACATGATGTGATGCATTGGTAGTCAGTTACGACCTAGGGATCGGCCTATCTCCTCCCTCGTACGTGGAAGCGACGTCCTTCCGACGAATACTTACTAAGCGGGAAGCGTTTTTAAAAAAAATCGAAAAAAATCGAAAAAAATAAACGAAGAATGCATGGAACTTTAGAGCAGTTTCCCCTAAAATCGTACATTCGATTTTAGTTTTGTAGATTTCGCAAAAATCGACATTCGTTGATTTTTCAACGAAACAGACTCAAACTTCTACTGTCAATGGGTTTCCTGTGTAACCGAAAGTAGCGAATAGATAGCCTGGACACGAGTGCTTTATCAAGTCATGTGTAAAAGCAACCATTACATTTTCAAGTAACGAGGATTCTGTCATACTCCTGTCTAAAAATCTTTAGTCAGGACTTCATTTCAATCTTTCTCCAGGTAAGACCAGCTCCACACTTATCTAAAGTAACTTTCTTTTATCCAATCGTGCCGATTTGCTGTGTGAAATCGTGATTTCCATTCCGTGATCTGATTGAACTGAATATTTTTTTGTTGACGAAACTGCGATGCATTCAAGGAGATTTGAGCATAATGCTGTGAATATTTAAACCGATTTCTTTTTCTTAGTAATAGAAAGATTCATCGGGATGTTGAAATCGTGTTTATGTTTTGTCTTATCCCTAGAAAGATCATCTAAATCATTTACAAAGGAATTAAATTGCTTATTCTAAATGTGCATTTAACCTTACTGGGCAAAAAGGAAAATGAGACTTTATGGGAGACTTAGATGTTATATAAAATCGTTTTCGTTTTTGCTTCTACATTAACACAATTAAGCGAGCAATTGTTATGTTCTATCACTAAACGAAGTCATAAGTTCATTACGGTGTTAAGATGAAGTAATATTCGTAGCATTCATTCCGTGCTTGCTTTTGTACAGTCTGTCGTCTGCATGTACGTTATAAGCTTACCTGTTGTATCAGATATGGACTACTCGTAAAAGACTTTGGTATTGTTAGGTTCATTTGTCTCGTAAGAGATATAATCATATTGTGTGGGCATTTTTACAACTGTAACATGTTAACATACTAATAAATCCTGCATTTAATCACAGGGTACTTTTATTTGAATTGCTCTCACACGAAGAATGGAGAGTGAAAATGTCAATATTTATGTCAAAGATATTTAAAATCCTCTGATCATAAATATTATCCTGATGCAAAACGTTCAAAAAAAATATTTTAACAGTCTTTGAGCAAGGAAATGGCTCAATTCCCTTTGGTTATAGTTGTTAATGATATTTGTAAAGGCCAGTTTGTCAGTTGAGATCACAAAGGATCAAAATGATCTCAGTCAAACCTCGTTATTATATTCATCATATTAACTATGTTTTCACTAATGATTCAGTGAAGTCATGCTGTTGTACAGCCGCAAACACTTGGTATTATTTATTTTTCTCCTGTTTCTGAAAACTCAAACTAATTGAAAGACTCATTGTTAAACAATAACCATAATAATAACATTTGCAGTGTTATTGTACATCGTAAAAAATAACTTTTCAGGATCTATGATTTTTGAACTGCCAATTCACAGTTAAACTTTTCAGCATATAATTTTGTAAATGGATGCTTAATTTGTACTTTTAGTTTCTATGGAAATACTCAAATAATGATCACCTTTTTCACAGACGTTGTCTTTTGTTCAGGTTAAATTATGATGCTGTCTAATGTTTTAAGCAACAGCATCTCAAAGAAAATTGTGAACACAAAAGACAAGAACACTAGTAAAAATCCCAAAATTTATATTATTAAATAGTTTTTGAATATTTTACCCTCAATTGGAGCTTTAGTCTCCTCGCAGCTGTGTTTAGTTTCGGTGAAGCATCACRGTTGCGAAACTAAACACGGCTGCGAGGAGACTATTGGAGCTTGAGCCTGAGCAAAGCAGAACATTAAAAAGGAGTTTTGTCTGGCATACCACATATTGTTGTCATGTATGTTTTCCAGATAAATACAAGTCATGAGCACTGAATTTTTGTATGTGAAAAAACTGCAAGGTTGTTGATGCACATATATACTTTATTATAAACTTATTTTGAACTTGAAACTGTTATTTGAAAACAATCACTTGACTTATAATTTCATACAGTACTTATTAAGCTTACTAGTACATTAGTTAACATTTTAAGATGTTTTTTTTTTTCTTTTTTCCAGTGGCTAAGGAGAACAGATATGACAGATATGGAGGACAAAAAACAAGAAGAAGGCCAGACAGAACCAGTCTATGGAGGATGTGAAGGACCTAATGCCATGTATGTGAAACTGATTTCTAGTGATGGGCATGCCTTCATCATCAACAGAGATTATGCCTTGACGTCTGGTACTATAAAAGCCATGTTAAGTGGTCCAGGTAATTATTACTCATACATTTGTTTGTTGTTTGCATAAGAATAATAAAATAGGTCTTTATTAACTCCAATATTAAGGTACATATCTTTGGTTACAATATAAATGAATAAGCTTGATGTTAGATTTAATTTAAAAAAATAGCTTAACAATAAGATAAGTCTTATGAAATGTTATGCTGATTGGAGTCACCTAACCGCCATTTTGATTTTGCAATACTCCCTCCCCCACAGTCACCCCACAGTCTTCTACACAGCAGCAAAATTTGCTCGTTTTTCTCTACGATTGTCATGTGTCGTGTGCCGAGTGACGGAAATGACTCAAAGGTTTAATGGATTACCCAAAAACTCCCATGGGGTGTTCCAAATATAATTGTTGGGGTTGACTAACCACCAACTACCTTGGGTTCAGTAAATTATGTAATTCTAATCTCACTGGGCTGCCATGCATATGAACTTCAGACAATCATTTAGAAAGAAAATCCTCCTGGCTTGGAAAGATGGGATCCATTGCAGAGTGCTATTATTGACCCAGAATTATTTTGTTTGTCTTACACAGGTCAGTTTTCTGAAAATGAAACCAATGAGGTCCACTTCAGGGAGATTCCGTAAGTATGACAGCAATAATAGAGTATGGCAATGAATTATGTGAATTTACTTTGTAATAGGAATTGAATTATTTTGCTACTGTGATATTTAACAATTAGATCTCGAGGGCTAGTGGAGTACAAGCTGATAGCCCATGAGGCCAAAGGATTTGCAATAGTCCACTAGTATGGTAATACTAATTTGTGATATCTTGTGTATGTTTCCACTAGGTCCCATGTCCTGGCCAAAGTATGTATGTACTTCATGTATAAAGTCCGCTACACAAACAGCAGCACAGAGATCCCAGAGTTCCCCATTGCACCAGAGATCGCTCTGGAGCTTCTCATGGCTGCCAACTTTCTGGATTGTTAAATAATTTAATTCATCGAAAGCACTACTAGTTTGACATTTTATAAATCTCCTATGGATTCATCATCTTCTACTCATAATGGTTGATATCTAAGGCAAGAATTTGTCAAAACAAGAATATATAGTGAACTTTAGTGAAATCATAACCTATCTTCAATGAAGCGTTTTGTTATTTATGTATACAGTTAAGCTTTGAAGTAAGTTTATATGTGTGTGTTTTTTTAACAAATTTAGAAAAAAAGATTTCTTTTATAACCTAGTGTATTTCATTATCATAGAATTTTTCATTTCCAAGTCAGTTTTCTAACTCAAAAGTCCATTTTTGGTGAAAATGATTCTGATTTAATGAAGGTATAAAAAATATTTCCTTTTTTCGTATGAAATAATGGTAAATTATTGCTGTATTATTTCATCATTAAATGAATAACTGCCTCCTTTGTTTGTTTTGTTTTTGCTTTCTTGGTACTGAAACACTTTAATCTCAAGAGTTTGGTTTTAAGGTTCATTTTGTAATAGTTTTCAATGGTACACATCTCAAACGAACTGTACAATATATAATAGGTATATAACTCTATAATAGGCACTTTTGATTAACCAAATGCCATTTTGTAATCCTCCGTGGCCAGTTACAGTATTTACCGAACTATGGTCTATCACAAATCTATCATTCTGATTGGCTACGAATCTATGTCCTATGCATGATAGACTATGGTCGCATCGAACGAAGCGAAAATAGTACAAAAATAATGAGATTTTTTCAGATCTACGAGTAGGGATAGTTTATTCGGCCGATTTCGGGCTCATGGAATGCCAAATCTATACGCTCGACAAATAAAAAGAGAAAGTGATCGTTCAAATACGATCGTTTCAGTCCAATCACACATTGTGTTAGGCGAGCAATGTTTTCAGAAGTGAACGAAATAGTTTAGGAGCGTCTAGGGTTTGCTCAAATCTGCGCCGGCAGTTTACGTCACAAAATTCTTCTGGCATTGCGTATTCAGTTGAAGTTGTGTTTGAAGTAAATGTGAAATGTCACGGCTGTTTTCCCAGGATACGCCTAGGTGATTTAATCCGGCTAGATTAACAAGATTGTCTCGCCCATGTTCCAGATAATAGCATCAATCCGACATTAAAACGTTGAGAAAAGTTTGTTTCTAACTTGTTTTATTTACGATATTTATAACAGACCTGCATCGTAAATGAAATATAGCAGCGGCAACGGTTTATGAAGAATCCGAACAGCAGCTTCAAACACATCTTTTTGCGCAGACAGTATTACATTAATTTACGGCGTGTATTTTCAGGTTTCAGCTTTCCGCGCGACGAAGAAATTGCTGCTTTTTTTCTCCATCGCCCTGTGATGATATAATTTACTAAAATGATTTATATATTTCTTCCTGCTGTTTAATTTTCCAATGGATTGAGCGCTTTCCTAAGAAGATATAATATAAACCCTCTCTACAACTCAAATCTTTCATTTATTGGTTTAATATATAATGTCGTGAATACAACGCATATCTTTACATTTTCATGTCCTATCGTGTTATTTATATGAATGTTTTATCATAAAATCACAATTCATCCAAAAAAGTCATCAAAATGTTTTTTTTCTTAGTTTCGAGCAGGCATTCTGATTCAGCCTTCGCCTCGTTACCAATTTTACACTCTTATATGAATCCGGCCTTCTTTGACGCGGAAAATTCGCAGCAACTGTCTACAACAAGTCGAAATATGACTGGTTAGTAAATGCCAGTCTTACAATAACGATTAGCAAGCTGAATATTTTAGAACTTTGTTCATCTTTGTACAACTGATAAATTCGTATTGAGGTGACATCAAGGTGGAGCCGCTGTACAATAGGGCGAGTCCTCGCGTCATTAGCGTTGGTATGAGTTCCTTCTCGTTTCAAACATACAACTTGGTAGGTATTCAACTGGAGGTGGTTGTTGAGGTGTCTCAGCAAATAACTGTGTTCTTGCGGGCCATTTCTATGAAAAAGTAATCACAAAACTCGTTATTGGAATCAATGTCAATTTAATTCAAGCAAACTTTCCTTACAAAGCAGTTATAAGAAAACTCTCAGTAACAAAAATAAACAGTAATTTGTCAGTTTTTGTTATAATAGTAATACATGTGGGCATATAAAAAATAAGGAAGTAATCTAGGAAAGCCGATATTTCGCAGATAAACCAGATGTGCCTGAAAAGTTTTCCTCGAGAACTTTGGCTCCTAAAAGGTGATATAAGTTACGTTTTACATGTCTTAGTGCTGTCTCGTGCGATTGAACTTGTACTGACTGTACTAAAAAAGATCAGTTCATTTTTTTCTTCAAATTCAGGTTTTGAACTGTGCCAGATACCTTTGAGCTGTCGGTATGAATTAATCGCTTTTTGATCCAAATCACTTTTATTGCTCTACCCGTAAAGAACAACCATATGGCAAACACTCGGACCACCATGCCAGGCTAAAGTAGAATTCTTTAAAAGACCAAAGGCACTTGAAGATCAATTACAATGACTATTAAGGCTTTCTTCAACCCACCGATGAATAAAAAGAATTTCGGCAAATTTGCACTTGCTCTGGTGTTAAATTTGTACTCAGAAGAAGTAAAAATGTTTCCAACATAACTTCTTCTTCATAAGATCGTAACAAAACATTTCCTTGGCGACTTGTTGTAGCTTTTGTTTTTAATAAACTAAAAAGCCATTGCTAATTCTTCGAATGCACCACGACCGTATAATTTTCTCTTTATCGTTCAGTTAGAATAAACAAACTTTATTTGAAAAGAAAACAGTCAATAAAAGTGTCCTCTTGACGGATGACGTGTAATATCAAAACAAACGTTTTATGTTTGTAAAGACAACATAACTTTTACAAGACAAGAGCGTGTTTATATAAAACGTCATTTCATGTTTGGCACTGAACAAGCATGGCTGCTGGACTTGACAAAGAGGATTTTGAGCTAAGCATTAATGCGTCCTCCTTACAACTGTCACTGAATACTAACCTTGATGAAGGGTTGAATCATATTTTCCTTTCTCGGCAGCCTTTCGTTTGTAAGAGCAGTTTCTTGTGAGAGAACATTCATCAAATGCTCTATATGGTCTATGGCAAGAAGAAGGATGTTCAGGCGAGGAAGCTTCGTGTCTGGAGGTACATTAGGTAGCGTTTTCTGCAATTCTATGTAAGCTTTTTTGAGATTTTGAGCTCTTATTCGCTCTCGTAAAGCGTTAGCAGATGGTTGGTCGTAGTTAGCCCGTTTGCGTGGCTTTTCCGTAGCAAAGTCGTGGCTCAATCGCTGTGTCAATTCGTAGCTTGTGTATCTTCCCATTTCTTGCAAAACGTGCTGTGTTATGGTGACTGGAAGAGTAAGTTTATTACTTGGCTAGCAATTCAAGCCTTCTTATCCGAGTCTCTACGAGTGTGCAATGTTCTGATAACATATCTAAATTGGTATAAGATAGAAAGAGCTTCACAAAGGGCAGATTTTATCAATTTCTTCTCTTACGTATGATCTCAAATAATCCATTCTACTTGAAAGTTAAGCCTTAGTCTTGTAAAACATCTTTTTGTTCATTTTTATCATTTCTATAGTCTAGAGAATAAGAATTTTTAAAGTTGATTTATTGCTCTTTTTTATGTGTAAAGTGATTTTTATTTGCGCGCCCTCATTTTCTCATGCACACAGTCACGTCGGTAGACAGGTAGACCTATTACAAATTCCATGGCACAGAGAAAAAAAAAAACGTTGCAAAACCCCAGCATTTAAAGCCAGACGCTTCACATTAATGCTTTCAACAGCCTTAACTGTGATGAGTTCATTTGAATATTCCGTGTGTAAGTTAAAGACTGCCAATGACCCCAAACAAGAGTTCTTGATAGAGATGTGGTAAACGCATTACTGTGCTTGGAGCCTTCCAGACTGCCATAAGGTTGCACTTTAGGGCATACAATTGTCCTATCAGATCATTTAGCAATACAAGAGACAGAGAAATCCCAAGATCAAGTAATTACGCCCGATCCCGGCTCATTTTTAGGCCGAAATCTTTCAGTAACTCGTACCATACTACTCTATAGTGACCCATATTTCAAGAAGTGCTTTCGGAAGGGTATATTTGATGGCTATTATCGTCAACATCTCTAGCTAGGACTCAAAACCACACCTAAGATGATGACTTGTACTTGGCCTCAGGGTAGAGAGAAAGCAGTTGAATAGGAGCCGTAAATGAAAAAGATATCGTTCAAAAAACTGACGTACGAGCATGTGGAAAACATTACTACTGGTGAAACTCGAAAAAAAAAATAGAATTTGCATGCTGCTACAGTTATGTTTGATACGTTTTTGGCACGTTTTGCAAACTGATTTCACGATATGATATATACTACTGCTTTCGTTATTTTTCTTTATGTTGAACGTAGTTTTTTGAAAGATATAGGATTTTCTTGTCCCAACTCAAAACAATTGACATTTTTTCTTGCAATTTTGGGCGCGCGTAGTTTATGTTTATAAATCCAAATTGTAAATATTTATCTATTCAAAGTAATAGATAAAGTGACTGCATAATCTCGCTATTGGTGAATCAAATAATTTTGAGTTTAGTAGAATTTTACGTCCATACTTCGCGAAACCGTATCTTTCTTGCACTTCAAGACCCTTTAGTTTCAAGGACCAAATAATTTGGATGCCAATGACTGTAATAAAGTTAAATCTGCGACGATAATGAATTGAAGATAAGTTGAAGTGTTGATATTGTCCATTCATTGATACTTCATGATACTGTAAGGAAGCATTGGTCGGGTGAATTGTTAGGCATATCTGGTGCAAGATTAGCCATGAGGGATGATGTTATCACTGTAGTTGATGTGCAATAATTGTGAATCTCATTGATAACATTTAACCGAGTACTTGGCCTGGGGTGATAGTTCTCTCTCTAGCCATTAAATAAGCTGATTTATGCTGAATTCCTTTTGCAAAAATATAAGCATGAGAATTTGTGTAGAATTTCATATAATGGCTCCCAATAAGTCGTGATATTTACATATGTAAAAGGCTTTTGCAGAGTTCTTGAAGTAGCTGTCATTGTAAATATGCAGAACTCTCTCGGAAGGTTCGTTTTAATATAGTTTTCATATATAAATTGTATGCACATTGTGTGAAAATTGCGGGTCACAAACGGGTGCCGTTCTCTGAGTACATAGTAACTATAGTCATAGTTAACTATGCTATAGTGCAAAAAAAAAAGCCTGCACCTATAAGACACTTTAGGTATGGATACACGAAAGGTTGCAGCAGCCGCTGAAGATCCTTGCAGCACGGCCACAGTAAATGGAGGATTTTGCAAATAAATTAAGTAGAAGTAGAAGTAGAAGCTAGAGCGCATCAGTCATTATACGAAGAAGTAATTCTTCATAATGGCCACAGCTAGATCATATGCACGTCAAGACCACGCAACAACCAATAATTCTCAGTTTTTAGAGTGAATTATAAAGGTTAATTCCACACATTTGGTATCAATTAAGTATAATGAAAAGTAATTGCTATACCAAGGTATTGCTGGATTAACCGAACCGATACAAGAATCAATGAAAAATGACCTAGATATCTTTATAATGGCCTGCCATTCACGAAAATAATGGCACCGATTTAAGAAGCATATCTCATCCATGCTCTTTGATCTTTCAATTATGTCCTCGGGTTGATTCCGTATTTGTAGCAGAACCGTGTCTACTACTAAAAGCCGCACCTCAAAAGAATTTTATGCCATCGCGTGACTACTACCATAACAAATTATTAGTGCACGAATATTAGGATCATTTCATTTTACTCCAATGTCAATTAGAAATCACATTAAATATTTCGCATTGTTTTATGCAGACAAATATATAGCTCAGTCCCGTTCGTATGACAGTCACAAAACTGGGTATATGATTACCAATCCCTTTTTGTTGAACGAACAATATCCACTCAATTGGCTCAAAATAATATATTTCTTATCAGGTTGTACTTTTATTACTTTGCCTATTTTTGCCTTTTTCTGGTTGTCAAGTTAGGCCTAAAATGTATAATATATACCAAACATATTCTAGTGAAAACGAAAACGCCGCAGGTGAAAATAGAAACGGATATGTACCTTTCGGGGATACTTTACACCCCTTAGGCCAAGTCCCTTAGGCTTGTTCAGATATCCGTTTTACGATACCAAGAAGACCCGCGGATCAATGACCGATTGCCCTTAAGCAATACAATACCGATATATCATATCAATGCCACTTCTATTTCCTAATTTGAGGCATTATTTTCTAGCTCTCGTATACAAATATTTCATGCGACGGACTTTGAATATGACTTACAGACTATCCAAACGTTGCGTCTAAAGTATGAATTGCGAGGGCGTTTATATGTTGACGAGGAATGGCAATTACAAGGTCGTTGAAAAAGCAGATATTTAAACTGAGAAAAGATCGAAAAGTATCCAATGGCCCATGATACCTGTGACTAATCTGACAACTATATCTGTGGACTATTGCAAAGAGATTATATGAACATTCATTTTTTAGGAGTCTAGACGTGTTCAACGTTCGGCTCTGTACATGCTGTCAAATACTCGTTTAAAAAGTCTTCGGACTATGATAGAATTTTCAAACGAAGATGAAAATTCGGCTTCATAAATCATCAATCAGTGATAATTAGTGTTCGTTTCTAGTATAAATATGGCTCAAAGATACGATTGAAAATCTGATTTCATTTGCAGTTAATTTATCATAGATGGTGAAATGTGAACTCGAGATGCAGTTATCGTTGAGGTGTGTCGTCTTTTTAAAAGTCTTTCCCACGCCAAAAGCTATTATTATTTCCATTGATAATGAAAATCTTCACCGTTATAGTTGCWCTGACTGAACCGTATCACGAATGAARTGCGCCCGGGGAAATGCGCTCTTTGCAGGCCCCAAGCAGCCTCGAAAAACCGAGGGGCAAGTTCACGTCCATCGCGTGATGCCTAAAATGTTTACTTGTCAGGAGAGGGTAGGCTCCCTCCTTTCAGTAATTATTAGCTAGAATCGMTACTTTAACGAATTACACTCTAGTAAGTCCGTATTTTTTAGTCTACGTTTCGCTTTGAGCGAATCATCTRTWGCCTAAAGCGYTCAGCCTCGAGCAGTTTTGCTGTTATCTTTATGTAAGTTAGCRCTAACTGACAAGGGCCGACAAAGCTAGAGTTTTGGGCTAGACGTCAGAGAGTGAAACACAGCCTTTATGCATGGAATGTCTACAAAGGCAATAAGTTTAAATAAGGATGAAATTTAAAAAAACGTACAAAAAGGTCGCAAATGTATGCATAGTGTAGACCCGAAAATATTTCTTAATGCAAATTTTAAAATTGCGTTTATACTAGTAAATATGCAAATTTAGAACAGTGATTCGCGTGAAAGCGAGATGGCCAATCATGTTCAATGTACGAAATTGATTGACAGAGGAAACCATTTGACTGCTCACGCCATGCGGATCGAATAGAACTTTGAATAATCGAAAAAGGCTTCTGAAAACGCCCAACGATTTCCAAACCAACAACTTCGTATTGCTTCCTGTAAGTACAAATTAATCTTTATACGTCTTGCCAATGTTTTACTCAAAAAACTGGCCAAAAAGTCATACAAATTCCACCTTATTTAGCAATCTTTCGAGAAACACTAGCTGAGCATATGCTTTTCGCTTTTGATGTCTTCAGTTCGAAGTGTAATGGAGGATGACTGCAGTTTGCCAGGCGGCCCTGACTTTGGCTTACTATGTACAGAAAACAGAGAATTCCTTTACAACGGTGATGGCATCACAACACCAGCAAGTCTTACTACTTCAGATTCTATGCAGGCTTTTGAAGAGGACGACGAAAGCAATATGGCGACCTCATTCGGAGGAAGCAGTCTTGCCGAGTCCGTCTCTTCTAAAGTGAGCTGTAGTTCAGTTCTCTCTGACGGCGAGAAACGCAAAAAAGTAAGAAAGCGAGACTCAAAACGGGATAGAGAAAGAAGTGCAGCCGAGCAAGGCGCTTACAAAAAGCTCCGAGAAGTTGTACCAACACTAAACGCGATAAAAAAGCCAACCAAACTACAAACAATTCGACATACTCTAAAGTTCATCGAGTGCCTGCAAGATAAGTTAAATGATTTAGAGGGGGAGAAACTCGGCGAAGGGGATAGTACCGAGACCAACACAAACGAAAATGGAAAAAATAAATAAATTCCGAACTATGTGGTTGATAACCATGTACGAGTATATAAACAAGATACTAGATGGAGTGGTAGAATCTATTATTATTATCAAATAATAATAATAATAATAACTTAGGATAAAGCTTTTGTACAATTGTTGTGCAGCTTTGTATATCAAAAGTGTCTAATATAAGATAGTTGTAAACTAAATAGAGTTGATTTTGTTGTAGTATTTGTAGGCGTATCAAATCTCCTATATTTTCCCACACCCGCTCCGTCAGTGGGATGTAGGGTGACCCCCCCCCCCCCCCCCC